TCATAGACTGGTTTTGTGCTGTGTATGTTGCTGATGCCACCAGTTTCAGTTCCCCTTTGGTGAGTTAGCAGAGGTCAGATATGGTTGTCCCCATGTGGTCCTGGGTCATTTTACACAAATCTAACTGGATATTCTGTATTTTACCTGGCAACCTCACTCACATATCCTCACTCTTTGATGTTAAGCACTGCCCACAAAGGGTTGTACTACTAACCCAAAAGCCATGCTTCACTGGTGGCAAGAATCCACCAATCACTCCAAAAGAGAGAGAGATGGGTAATCTTTTTACATGTAATCTAAAGTCTTGTATACACAGTGGAGTGTCAAGAATGAGTTAGTTATGACTTGACAGCAATGAGTTAAGTAAATGACCAAAAAAAAGGCAATAGTGAGAATGGAGTGGGGGGGGGGAAATAGAAGGACTTGAGATACAAGAATTAAGACATAAGGACCAACAGAATGTGATAATTAATTGAATGTAAGAGCAAAAGTTAGCTCAGTTGGTTAAAGATTTACTGAAATGGATCCCACTAGAGGAAGAAAAGATTAAATGAATCTATTTTAGAAGAGGGTAAGAGAAGTATCAAATCTGAGATCCATTAAGAAATTCATATGGCAATGCTACTGAGTAGATAGTTGGACATACATGTACAGAACTGAACAGAAAGGTCCAAGATATAAAGTAATATAGATAATGAATGACAGTTAAGTCATATTTAAACCCAAAGAGATGCATGGGTTCAGATAAAGTATGAGAGGAGAAGAGGGATGCTGATTATTTCCTGAAAAAAAAATACATTTCTTATCAGTTGTCCTTACTTGACTCCCCTCCCCCCCCCCAATTACCGAAGTTTTTAACTGTGGTTAAGACCCTAGATAAGAGGGATAGACTCAGCAATTGCGGTAATAGGGGTAGCTGTGTCAGAGACAATGAAATAGCCTCAAATTAAAGCAAGATTCAAAGCTGTTGTACATAGGGTTACTATGAGTTGTAAGTGACTTGATAGCACACAACAACAATATATTGTTGCTGTTATGTACCATTAAGTTGGAATCAATGCATAGCTGACCCTTCAGGTTTTCAGAGGCAGAAAATCACCTGGGAGGAGATTGCTCATCTTTTTCCCATGGAGCAGTTGGTAGATTCAAACCACATGCCTTTGGGTTGGTAGCACAATTCCTCATCTTCTAGGCCACAAGAGCTCCTTGGTTAACACACACACACACACACACACACATACATCATATTCAAATTTAATCTTAGTCCCTTTTTCCCAATTTTATTTTCCTATTCTTAGTCTGGAGACTAAGGTGTGCCTGATATAGGCCATGGTCTTTGCAATCACTTGATATGTGTCAGGGATCTGGACAATGGGATGTTAGATGGAGATTTAATACCTTTGAGCTGTGGCGTTGGAGAAGAGTATTGACTATCCCATGGACTGCTAAGAAGAGAACAGATTCATCCTGGAGAGGGTAAAACCAGGCTGCTCTTTGGAGGCAAGGAATTTGAAGCTCTCTCTGACTTATATTGGTGTGTTGCAAGGAGGTACCAGTCCTTAGAGAGGGACATCATGCTTGGGAGGGTGAAGGGACAGTGCAGAAGAAGAAGGCCTTCAATGAGATGGATTGATTCAGTGACTGGGGTAATAGTGGTAGCTGTGTCAAAGACTATAAGATTGACACAGGATAGAGCAGGGTTTAGGGCTGTTGTACATAGGGGTCACTATGAGTCCCAGGCAACTTGACATCACATAACAACAACTACAAAAACAACAGTCTTATCATAAGAAGTATAGATATTGTTTTTCATTATTGTGTGCATCGAGTTGGAACCAAACCAAAGCTATCCCTCCAGAAGGTTTTCAGAGGAAGTTAATTGCTTGGGAGGAGAGGGCCCATCCTATTCCAGTCAAACAGCTAGTAAATTTAAACCATGTGCTTTCAGAATTGCAGCACAGCTTCTTAGCACTAGGCTACCAGAGCTCCCTAATACACATCTTATGAGGTTATTTTTATTTCTTATATTATCATAATTAAAATGTGCATATTTTTATAAAGTTCTGTTTATCACTCTTTGAGTTTGCATGAAAGAACATTTTAATTGTTTAGTTATAATCAGATCTTAAATTTAGTGAAAAAAATTAAAAGTAGTAATTTACCACAGATACACAATTGGCTTACTTTGCCTTTATATATGGACAAAAATTAAAGCCTTTCTGTATTTCATTTCTAAACACCATTCCTATCGTACTGAGGGGGAAAGTAAGACTTTTCAGCTCACTGTTGCTAATTACCTTTTAGTCTCCTGTACAATTTTATGCTCTGGCAATACCTCCAATAAAGGAAATTAAAGCATTCTCTAATATCCAAATAGGGACAAAAAGAAAAAGCTTGTTAAAAAAAATCCATTGAACAGAAAGAAATAGAAACACAAGCATTTCAACAAAGGTCACAAAGTGATGGTCAATGTTTATTTTTGCTCTTAAATAATTCCTCCAAAGGAGAATCTTATTTCTTTTTATCTAATGATTATAATTTATATAACTATACTCAGTATCTAATAATCATATATTTTTCCTTCCATTTTCAAAATTCAAGAGTTACAAAGCACAAATGCCAGTAGTGGGATTCCTACAGGGCACTATATTGAACAGGAAGATTTCTTAAAAATTAAACAAAATTATCTTAACTAAAGCTAAATTTAATAAAAATTAAGTTCCCTATGTGAACAAAAACAAAATACCAGCATAGGTTCTACTCCAAATGTATAATATCTGTTAACTATTATAAGCCAAATTTAAGAATAATGAGTTTTCTTTATAAATGAATACAAAACTAGTTCAAAAATATGTACATGTATAATATGAAGCCCAAGTAAATAATTAATTAGATCTAGATACAGCCTAAATATTTTCCAAAGGTAGAAGAAAAAATATTCCTTAAATGGCATTCTGTCATCTCTTCAGGTACTTTTGCTTTGCTTCTTACTTTCTTCACTCTGGTTATCTGGTTTTTATTACTTTTTATAATAATTTAGAACTTTTGTCTTAGGACAGGTAAAGAAAAAAAAAGAAAACTTTAATTCTTTAATACATAGGCTTTTGTGATAGAGGAAATAGTTTTATGTAACTGATTAAAGCAGGTAAAGATTATCTATGCACTGTATTTTTTTTTAAAATTAATTCACTTCCCATTATCCTCTTTTGACAACTATTGAGGTGAAGCTATCATTTTCAAATTTGCATTCATTGGTGGTAAGAAAAAAATGCAAATATGCTTTATCCTATAATCTCCATATAATAGTAAAATTGATGAAAGAATATGAAATGACTGAATTATTAATAGCATCAAGATTTTAAAATTCACATTGTTACTGAATATATCTTTTGAATTCTGTCCCAGATGAGACAATATCCCAAGTGATCATTAAACACCCCAAAGAGTTCAAGTAAAGCAATTAAAAACTCAATTTCTTCTTCATATATTTAGTTTTAACCGTAGACTGTTGACAGCTTCACAGACTCCAGAGCTGAAACCCTAGCCTCTCCCTCAGATTTGTTATATTTTATTTTTAGATGTAATCACTTCCCTCCGGAAAATGGTTAGTGACCACACGCGCAGGTCTGCACATGAGGAAACTAAAAAGAGAACCTGGTGCTGTGAATCAGATACACGGACACAAGAAGAGCCCCCTGCCAGGCCATGCCCAGTGTGTCATATTCTTCAATAATCCCTGTGACAGTGCTGCGGTGACATTTTCAATTAATGCAAATGATACTTGAAGTTAAGCAATTTCATTGGCACGTTTTGCATGGGTTCCTTTATGAGCACCTTTGACCAAATGGCACGATGAAAATTCCATTCATTCCCCCCTCCATTAGTTCTTCTTAGTGCTTCACATAATGTGAACCTTTTCAGAATTTGGATTAGTTTTAAATTTGTGCTTTTGGAAAAATGTTTCAGAAAAATTAATTAGGTAGAAAAAGCACATTGGAACAGAATATATGCACTTGAGTATTACAGCTTTGGAAACATTATGGGCACTTCTATTCTGTAGACCCTTGTCCTAGAGGCAGACTACTTGTTGGAGTCAACTCCAACAACAAGTTTTACATATGTTCACCAACAGATGTTATTAAAGAAATTAGAATAAACACAATACAACTCACAGTCTCAGACTCATAATATGCGATGTTTTACATGGAGAGTTAAAGCTTCTTTTGCCTTAGCAAATAGCTTCTTCAGTGTGTCTAGTTCAACTTGGCAATGGGAAATACACCTAGGTCAGTCATTTTACACACCCTCAAAGGCAAGGAAACCTCTCCAAATTAGCTATGCAATAGATTTTAAGAATCAAAGGTAGAAATCAATACTTCAAATTGCCTCTGTTACCTCTGGAAATATTTACTCAGTTTAACAGTTTTTTATGTAACAGTTGCAAATGTTTTCTGTTTATTTAAAGAAGTCTTCTAAAGATCATTCAAGCTTTCATTTACCTTAACTGAAATAGTACAAAAACTGACTTAATTAAAACTACATTTCTTTTTATACCTTCTATTCTGCTTTTCACTTTCCCCTAATTAACACTAGATGTGTTGTGCATTCATTGTAATTAGCAATGTAGTCGTGTATTTATAACTTGAAAAAGCAGTTTTTGAACAGGCAAGGGAAAAATACAGTGATATATAGATATATATAGGTATATAGACACACACACACACATGCATACATTTACACTAGAAATGACATAGGGAAAGGAATGGGTGTTTAGACTCATTCTATTAAAATATGTATATGAAACAAATTAAGTTACTTTAGAAATTCTAGATGCTATCATGTAAAGGTCAAACGGAGGAAATAATGAATTCATTTTTTTCTGCACATACAGAGTTCATCTATGGTCACTTTTACCTTAACAATATTTGTTTTAATGATTTTTAATTATTAAAATATTACAGATCACATTTAGTGATTAGACAAAGAGGTGGCCTGGATACCTGGATTGTCTCTGACAGTCACAGAAGTAGAAGCAGGAAACAAGAGGATTGTCACCCACAGCCAAAGTTTCCAAGAGTTGCTGTGTCTCATTGTGTCCCAAAACCATCTGAACAAATGACCACAGATCTGCAGCAGAAAAAAAAATGTTAGATGGAAGTTTAGATAGATGATAGATAGATAGATAGATAGATAGATAGATAGATAGATAGATAGACATTCTCTTCAATGCTATCCAGAAAATTCAGCACCAAGAGAAAGCAATGTGTTTACATAACACAAAGTCATAAAATTGTGTATATGAGAACGTAAGAGATGTCATTTTATACAACATCAAGATACACTTTCTGAAAAAGTTAACTCACTGTTATGGAGTTAGAACTAGCTCATAGCTGATGCTCTAGTGGGTTTTCAGAGGTTATAAATCACATGAAAGGAGAATGCCCATCTTTCTCCTGTGTTGCAGCTGGTATACTCAGTCGACTGCCTGCCTTTGAGTTGCCATCACAACTCCTTATCTACTAGACCACTAGAGCTCCCTAGGATATATGTTAGTGTGTATCAGAGATTTCTGAAAACATACTGATTACAAGATTAGTTTCTAGAAAATTTTTAAGGCGACTACAGCTTCCTATTGGTTCCAACACAAAGGCACACACCACCAGTAACATCTAGCCTCTTGGGGTCTTTCTTCTTTTAAGGTTATTATTTTAAACCACATCACTTACCTTGATTTATACTTTCAAATTAGTTTTATTATTTATAGCTCTATATTCCCTTCTGAATATCAATTTTAGTTATTTTGGTTAAAATTATGTCAATATGTTTCTATACACTTCCTATGTTGTTAGTGAATTGAATAACTTGCTATTGGAAGTAAAAAGCAATGTGAAAAGTAATCTTTCCTTCTGTAAAGTTAAAAATGGATATATACAATGACTTCAATATATAAGCGTTATTGGCATCTTATTTAACATTCATATCTTATTTCTCATAATTACTTGTCTTTTAAATTTCATCTGTTAGTCTGTAGATATTATAAAACAAGTTATAGTAAATATAATTTCTATAACAGAAACTTTAAAAAATCACTTTGTTTTATAGAAATAGCTAACATGGAAATAAATGAATTGGAAGTAAAAATATTATTTCCTCAGTGTAATTGACAATTATAATATGAACAGAATAACTATTTTAAGAGTTCCAAATATGCAAATATATATTTTTGCCAAGAGAATTGCAAAGAATCAAGTGTAAATTAATTTATCATACCGATGTGTAATTTTTATCAATAGACACACTAGGAAAAAAGCTACAGCCACCATCTTTTTTAGTATTCTGAGTGTGCCAAATACCTCAAGATCAGCATTTTAAAATTAATTCAAGATTTCAGATATTTCTGGATGAATGGCTGGAAGCAGCAACTGCAATATTAAAACTGTTTGTGTGGTTCTAAATATCAACCAGCTGGAATTATGCCTTATTTCTTTTGCACTCTTTCATCTAGATATAGTCCCAATCCTCATATGACTTTGCAAACTTATCTTGGTTAAGATTTCAAGTTAGTCAGAGAAATTAATCCAATTTCAAATAACATGAATTCACAAATATTGATCTAATTTCCAGGAGATACTTGATTATGCTTGTATTTTTGACAAAAATGTTTTCTATTCACTGATAAATTGGAAGTATATTATAAACATAAAAAGATTATTATAATTCATATCTGTGTTCTGCCACCTATGAATATCTTTCAATTTCTTGATCTGCAAACTAGAAATAAGACTCTGAAACTCTTAAAACTCTGCCATGAGTCAAAACTAATGAATAGCTGAGTTTCCAAGACTGTAAATCACACAGAAGAAGTGTGTCCATCTTTCTCTCAAGGAGCAACTGGTGGATTTGAACTGCTAGAGATGCTCATTCTTGGGGTTAGCAGTGCAACTCCCAATGGAATAGGCCACTAGAACTCCCTGGAATAATATTAGAATAAATTATTTACAATAATGAGCAAATTGTTGTTGTTGTTATGTGCTGTCACCTGTGACTCATAGCGATCCTATATACAACAGCTCTGAAGCCTGCCCTATCCTGAGCCAGTCTCACTGCCTCTGACACACCTACCCTCATTGCCCCAGTTAATTATATCAATCCATCTCATCCAGGGTCTTCCTCTCCTGTGCTGTCCCTCCACCCTTCCCAGCACTAGTATCCAAAGAAAAATATTTGCTATTATAATCATTTACTCTATATATTAAAAGAAACCTCTGGTGATTAGTAAGAAGCTGTGCTGCAATCCCACAGGCACATGGTTCCACCAGCTGCTCTGTGGAAGAAGGATGGGCAATCTCCTCTGTGTGATTTACTGCCTCTAAAAACCAGCTGGAGTGTCATGAAAATATATGTTCATAAAACCAGATCGGTTCAAACTCGACAGCAAACAACAATAACAATATATTAAAAGAGAACTCTGGTAGTCTAATGGTAAGAAGCTATGCTACAATCCCAAAGGCATGTGGTTCAAATCCACCAGCTGCTCTGCAGTTTTCTCCCAACCTGCTAGACTTGACAGCATTTAACAACAACATACATTAAAATGCAACAAAAATCAACTCATTGTCATTGAGTTTGCATTGACTCATAGCTGACGTTCTAGTGGTTTTCCAGGGGCTGTAAATCACATAGGAGGAGATTGCCTGTTTCTCCCTCAGAGCTGCTGCTGGTGGATTAGAATTGCCCATATTTGGGTTGGCAGCACAATTCCCTATCTATGAGGCTACCAGAGCTCTTTAAATTCGTAAATAATGGCTAGGGGGAAATCACATGTTCAAGTTTATAGAGAAATTGCTACTTCATCACTATCCTATAGTTTATCGTATAGTATTCTATAATTTATTCCATAGTATCCTATCACTTCTCTAACCAAGGTCACCAAAGATTTAGAATTCTCTTCTCTCCCCACCTTACTCAACAAAATATGGCTTTTTGCATAGTTGACCACACCTCCTCCTTAAAATCCTCACTCTCATGGCCTCACTGAATTAACTCTTGGGTATTTCCTTCTAAACTACCTTCTCAAACCATTTTTCTACCCAATTTCTTACTATTGGAATCTGTGGGTTCTCTTCTCTTCTTATGTTATCACTGCTGCAGCTGATCATGCTGTTTCATTGCCTTTCAGTAATATCTATAAGCAGATTAGGTTCTTTTTCATTTTCCAGTGCTTTAGCTACAATATTGTAGTAATTAGTATTTTTTACATATATCAATAACTTTTTTGATAATTGAGTAATATTACAAAGAGAGGGGCTCTCCTGATCTAGTGGATAAGGAGTAGGAGAAAATGGGCCATCTCCTGTGTAATTTAGTTTCTGAAAAATCACTAGAGGGTCAGCTGTGGATCCATTCCAACTTGATAGCAATTAGTTGTTTAGTTGTTGAGGGAAAAATGGTGGGGGAAGGAAGTCATAAAATGCTGTTGTAATTAATAATATAACTGAGTAGAAAAAGATTTAAAAAGCAATTTAAGCACTTATACCTGTAAGTAATTTACAATTCTGTTTTATCACTTTTTATCACTCTTTAGGCCATGGTAAAAATTGATAATAAAAAGGATTCTGTAGAGTTGGTATGAAAGGAGTTTCATGAAGAGGGATCATAATATGAGTGTATATACTGGGTGACATCAAAACTAGTGATACTGTTGTCAGGATTAACCCCAACACACTTCAAATCCACTGATGTCTCTCTGTCATTCTTCCACATCCTAGTTCGGGTTGCCATGCTGTGGGTCTCTCATTAACTTCCTAAGTAATTTACATACTTATTGTTGGCCTCTCACCAAATTCTTTCTCTGCACAGCACTGGAGAATTCTTGAAATGAAAATTGGGCCATATAATTTCTCTGATCCAAAGTCTTATAATGGCTTTTCATTTTATTCCAGATATAATCCAAAACTTTTAAAAACATCTTTTTATTTCTTGTTAGTTGTCATCAAGTCACTTCAGATTCATGGTGAGCTATATACAATAAAACAAAACATTGCCTGGCCCTGTGCCATCTTCATCATTTTAGAAATGTGGAATTCCTTATTGTAGCTGTTGTAGGGTACATTCCAAACTGAGGACTCATCTTCCAGCACGGTCTCAAATAATATTGTGATGCATTATATTTTCATTGGTTGTTTTCAGAATTAGATTGTCAGTCCTTTCTTTCTAGTCTATTTTAATACGGAAGATCTGTTGAGACCCCTCTATCCTGGAAGGTCCTACAAGCACTTCACACATGGTTAAATAACTGTGGCATAGCTTGTAGTATCATAGCATCATATATGACACAAGAGCATGAAAAATTTGACAGCTGGGTGGCAGTTTCTACTGCATACAAATTCTGAATAATTTGGCCCCTGCCCACTAGTACAGCCTCATGTGTTATTACTCTCTTCACTGGCGTCTGTTACTCAAATTTCCAGGTTCTTTCTAACGTCAAGGTTTGTGTGTACATTATTCCCTTAAATGTCAAACAGGCTAACTATTGCCATCTGTAAGTACCCTGGCTTGATCAGTAGGTGCCTTTATCCCGTTACTCTGTAGCTCAGATTTCATTGTGTCTGTATTTGTATATGTATTGCCTCTCATCAACTCTAAGCTTTATTAAATGGGGACCATATCTATCTTGTCCTTCACTGCTGCCTTGGTACCTGGATCACCTAGTATGGAAGGTCATAAATATTTTTTAAAAGAAAAAGATTTGCCACTTCCCCAATCTTGAAAATACAATGAAACATTTTCATCTTTGAATTTATGTTGTTGTTGCACACTGTTGAGTAAAAACTGACCCAGAGCTCACCCTCTAGTGGATTTTCAGAGGCAGTTAATTACACAAGCGTTTGCCCATCCTTCTCCCACAGACCAGCTGCTGGCTTTGAACCACATATTGGAGAGGCTATTCCTTGGAAAAGGACATCATGCTTTAAAAGGTGGAGGGATGGTAGATGAAGACCCTCAACCAAGTGGATTGACACAATGACTGAAGCAATGGGCTCAAGTGTGTCTGAGATTGTGAAGATGGCACAGGATATTACAGGGTTTAG